ATGCTTCATTCGTCAAGGCTCGTTCAGGTCCAGAAGGGAACAATCTTTGGAGGCTTCGTGGAGGTAGCATGGGGACTTCATTGTCCATTAACTTTAGGTGTTTCATGTCCAGCGATTTAGTTCTTTAGTATATTATTATATTTCAAACTTTTTTTTATGATATTTTGTAGTTTTATTTTGGCTTCTGGAGAACACGTTGGTAGTACGTAGCACGGGTAATGGGTCTGCGAATGCATCAAATCAAAGTGATGATGAAACTTTTTTAATTATGTCTCTAATTTGGAGAAAGTGGGAGCAACGAGAGGAACTTGAAAATTTCGGTGTAATATTTGCAAAGAGATTCGACAAAGTTCTTATTCCAGAGTTATTTAAAAAATTTCATGCTTGCATTGCTGTTTGTAAGAAAGTAACTAGCAGTCAAATAAGTGAGTTTGAGAATAAAAAAAAGTGTGTCTGGACATAGAGAAGTTCATTTCCTTGCAAAACTCAAACATCTTCGAAGAAAAGAAAGCCTAGCATCTCACCTATCAAGAAAGCATCTGGTATTGAAATCAGACATTAATTGGATCAAGAAATTACAAGAATGTTTTACACTAGAGGCTTGTTATTTAATCTTACCAGAAATCCACATTATCATCAGTCCTATCAGTTTGCCCCTTCCCACAAAATTGATAGGATCGACGATAATGTAGATTTCTTGCAAAGTTAAATGGCAAACTTCTAGTGTAAAACATCCTTGCAATTTTTTTTATCTAATTGATGTTTGATCTCAATACCAAATTCTTTCTCCATATGTGAGATGCTAAGCTTTCTTTTCTTCGAAGATGTTTCAGTTTTGCAAGGCAAAGGAATTTCTCTAGGTCTAGACGTCCTTTTTTCTTCTCAAACTCGTTTTCCAATCTTTGCATGTCACTTATTTTACTCCTAGTTACTTTCTTACATACAACAATACCAGCATGAGAAATTTTAAGTAAATGTGCTTTCACTTTGGAATAAGAAGCTTGTCGAATCTCTTTACAATTATTACACAGAAATTTCCAAGTTCTTCCCGTTGCTCCCACTTTCTCCAACTTAGAAACATAATAATTCCATAAAGGAGCTTCATCACCACTTTGCAAATCCACACTACCTGTTCTACTACCAACGTGTTTTCCAGAAACCATAATAAAAGTACAAAATATCGTCATAAAAAAAAAATAGAAATATAATAATACACTAAAGAACAAAATTAATGGACTGGACATCGAGTTTTGCATAATCAGTGACCACTAAAACG